TGATAAGAGTTGTATGAGCCCCTAATAAAATGATTTTTAAAAAAAAAGAAAAATGAGGAGCTGATTTCAGGAGCCCAAGCCAAAAGTGTTTTGAGAATGATGAGGGCAAGAAATGTATACGTGTGCTTTACACAATTGACGTATGTATGGATTGTGATAAGAGTAGTATGAGTCCCAATAAAAGGATTTTTTCAAAAGTGCCAAAAAACTGGGGCTTAAAAATGAAAAAAAAAAAAAAGATGGAGCCTGAAGAGCACAATTTTAAGACTAGAGTACAGGGTGCCCGTTTTCATCTGCCACTACATGTCTAGCACTTGAATTTCTTCATGTTCTCTATTACAGATATTGCTTTTTCAACAAGTGCAAAAAACTTAAGTCACTGGACAGTTGCTTCCACATCGGGATATACCTAAAATCTGTTTCCAGACCCATCAAGAAGTTCTTTTCCATTTATGTGATTGGAATTTCTAACAATGGGCATCATTTGAGTCACAGGTCTCAAACAAATTGTCTATTTGGTGAGGTATAGACCTGACTGTAAAAGGGTGCTAACGGAAGATTAATTTTTCTTTCCTATGACTAATGACACTATCGAATGAGATCATTCAACTGCTAGGTTAAGAGAGGTGTAGCTCCGGGTGATGTTCACTAAGACAACACTGCTTCTTGGTTCTCATGATGTACTAATTTTTTCCTCTTCTTTTTTTTTAAATAGGGAGAGATGATGTCCTATGGAAAGCCATGCGGGGGCCAAGACTGCAGTGGAGGCTGTAAATGCTTTCCTGAGAAAGGAGCAAGAGTAAGTTGCCTTTTTCTTTGTTGAAAGACAAATTGTTGCTAGGCTGATGTCAGCAGTGGGTGTGTTGTCTTTAGACTTAGACAGCTTAGAATTTACTCTCATGGTCTCATGGAATAACCAACGTGATGAGGACCAGCTGACAGAGTTTTGCTAACTAACGATAGATAGACAGAAGGACTAGACTAGCGGATGTCTCTGAGCGACCAGAAGGAGATTTCCTTTGTTGACTTAATGCCAAAGTTCTCAAGGTTTCATCGGAAGTATTTCCAAATGTCAATTACGTTCTGCAGAACCAGGCATACAGATTTTCATAACTCACGTAGCTCCTCTTGATTCTTCCCAGCCGGTCTGGAAAGCAATTGGTCACATTGTTATCTACAGAGTGGAGTTGCGACTTGCCCCAAGTCACTTTGCTTGTTAGTAAGAGAATCCAGGGGGAGGAGAAACCATGCAATCTAAAAAATATAAACATGAAGAAGGATGTCTACATATTCCATTAAAACGTATGACATCTTTAATGGCATGGTGTGAGATAGTCACTGTATTTTGTCCCTCATTAGCAAACTTTTGTACAAATTGTTCAAATTGTTGGACAAAATTACAATAGATGCAAGCTTTTCCAGCAATTCCCCTGTATGCATATATCCTACATCATCCCAAAGGGTTTTAATTTCTGATCTTCACTGAATAAACCAGAATCTTTTTGGAAACCCAGAATAGAAGGAGTCAGGGGCTCTCAAACAAAATAAACACCTGTTTGGAGAATGTATGGCTGCCCTGGAGACGCCAGATCTTCTGACTTCCAGCACTTACTGTATTCTCACCGTATACACACTGTTAAAAGAAGATGACCAAAATAGGTCAACCAACCTTCCAATATAGCGCCAGAGAATAAGAATGACCTTCTCTTTGTATTATCTCCCATTTAGAATAAAGCAAAATGTCAAACTGTGCCAGAATTTGAGGGAAGGGACTAAAAAAACCATTTCCTCACCAAAAGACAACAGACTCAGAACTCAAGAATCATAAAATGATCAGACAAGGAAAGCATTTTCATGAGCATCTCTACTTATCTCCCCTGATGGAAACAGGCTCAGAGAAGAAAATTGACTTCCTCAGGTCGCAGTACAAACAGATGACAGGTTCCAGGATATTATCTGAGTCTTTGTTTCTCCCCTATTTATTTGCCTATGGATGCCTGCCCAGGGAGGTCATTGTCCATGTTACCACCAAAGCTTATACCCTGGCCTCGCTTCTCTGCAACCAGGAAATATCTTTAACAACAACAACAACAACAAAGTCTACCATAAGTACAAGGAGCACTGGTAGCATAGTAGGTTATAAGGACAGCAGTTGGAACTCACCAGACATTTCGTGGGAGACAGATGAGGTTGTCTGCTCCCATATAGATTTAGTCTCTGAAACCCAAAGGGGCAGTTCGACCCTGTCCTATAAGATTGCTATCAATTGGAATCGACTTAATGGCACTGGGTAGGTGATGACAATAAATATATAAATGCTTCCTTCCTCCCCCATTCTCATGATCCCAATTCTACCTTACAAATCTGGCTAGACCAGAGGGTGTACACTGCTACAGATAGGAACTGGAAACACAGGGAATCCAGGACAGATGATCCCTTCAGGACCAGTGGTGTGAGTGGCGATACTGGGAGGGTGGAGGGAGGGTGGGTTAGAAAGTGGGAACCGATTACAAGGATCTACATGTGACCTCCTCCCTGGGGGACAGACAACAGAAAAGTGGGTGAAGGGAGATGTCCGACAGGGCAAGATATGACAAAATAATAATTTGTAAATTATCAAGGGTTCATGAGGGAGTGGGGAGTGGGGAGGGAGGGGAAAAATGAGGAGCTGATGCCAGGGGCTTAAGTGGAGAGCAAGTGTTTTGAGAATGATGAGGGCAATGGATGTACAAATGTGAAGGGAAAAAAAGCCACAGAGTGGCAGAATAGATTTTTTTTTAAAAGAAGCATCATCATGTAGAGCAAATGTTTTGAGAATTATGAGGGTAACAAATGAACTAATGTGCTGTATGTATAGATTGTGATAAGAGTTGTATGAGCCCCCATTCTAAAACAATATGGAAGCAGTACAGACAAAGCAAAAGTTTCCCTTTATACTCTATAGGTCCCTCTGTTGTCCTTCTGGAATTTTCCTGGGCTTATCATAGATATGTATACTTGCGTATGTGTATAAGTAGTTTACTTTCCTGGTTTTCTTTTCCAAAATAGAATCATAAACATCTACTTCATGATTTCCCTCCTACTTAATAGGTCCTAGAGATCTTGCCATCTACCCCATGTTTGAAGTCAGCAATTCTCCGTTTTTATGGACCCTTTGGTGTTGTTAGGTGCCGTTGAGTCGGTTCGGACCCTTAGCGACCCTGTGCACAACAGACCAAAACACTGCCCAGTCCTGAGCGTCCTCACAAGCATCGTACCAATGCTTGAGCCCATTGTTTCAGCTACTGTGTCAATCCATCCTCTTTAGGGGCCTTCCTCTTTTTCACTGCCCCTCTACTTTACCAAGCACTGATGTCCTTCTCCAGTGACTGTGCTTGCCAGTTTTTCCCCTATTTTAGAAAATAGCAATACCATAGCAGAAATCTTTCAACAGGCCTCCTTGTGCTAATCTTTAGCATAGATGCTGAAGTTTGGTATGATGAGATACCAGAGTAACAGACTTTTTTTTCAGTTTGATACCTAATTCCCATACCATACATTCAATGATTTAAGCATAATAAAAAGAATTGCGGAATAATCACCACAATCCATTTGAAAACCTTTTCTTCATTCTCGTTCTCATTATTTTTAGCTCCCCACCTTTCTCCAACCTCCTACACTAGAACCCCAAGAAATATTTATCCAGTTACTGTCTATAGATTTACTTATCTTGGATTTCATATAAAGAAAAACAGATGACCTCAGCCAACAACTATTACAAAATAAAACAGAAAGACCACAATCCAAAAGAAAGCAGAAAAGAATAAAAGCTAGAACAAATTTTAGGTGGGCAAGACCACAATAAGTGATAAGGTGTTACATTTTAATCTGACTGCATCTGCACCAATCTACTCTCCAGCGCGCTCCTTTTAAAAGCACATCCCCAGTCAGTGGCCAGAGGGAAGTCTCCAGAAGCTTTATCCACATGGAGATGCTGTCAGTGGATTTGGGACTTTCGTTGTCTTCCCGAGGCTTCAAGTAACAGACATTTTTAATTTTAAAAATTGCTAAATTGCCCCCTCCCCCCAAAGATGTGTTCCAACTTACACTCCCACCAGCATTTACAAGAGCACCCATGTTTCTACAATCCCGTCAACTCTGATATTTTTGCTACTCTCATTCGTGAAAATCATCCCAATTTCCTGACTGCATCTCAGTTTGAGTGTATTTGCACATATACATTGGACATGTGTATTTATTCTGTGAAATTCTGCGAATTATTCTGTGAATTTTCTACCTACATTTCTAAGGGATTGTTACATGGTTCTTTATACATGCTGGATGCTAATGCAGGGGAAGATATTTTTCTACCTTAGTTGTCCCTCTGTCACTATTAGAATGAGTATGCCAGATTCTATGGGTCTTCCTCAATTCTCCGTTTAGGAATTTGAATTCAGGTCTGTCCCAATTTCTATAAGTGACTCTGACAGTCTCTCGTTCCTGCATCTAATCGTTGACTCTAAGGAAGGGTTGTTTTTCTGAACCTCTTCAAAGACACAGCAAATGAAATTGAACCAAGTGAAAGCAAATGCGATCTGAAGTTTGAAACAAAGGTGCAGCTTCTAGCCACTTGAGCAGACCTACCAACCAGGGCAATGAGAAGAAACAATGTGTTGTTTGTTAACTTGGAGATCCTTTAAAAGTAGAAAATCTTATTATAGATCTGAACTTGTCAGTCTTACACCAATGCAAATATATCTACGATGTTCCCATTGTTTTCCCCTGATCGAGATTTTAGTATCTGAAGACAGAAAGTAATGGATTTCTTCCATAACATGCTCCGATATTGGTTCCAAGCATCTGGGGCCCTGGTTCTGGTTCTCCTTTGACAACACCTAAGTAGTTGAAGGGCTGTGGGAAGGGGGCAAATATAATTTCACCATATAGATTTTTGCCACGAATGTGCAAAAAGCCCATAGTCTACACAGTTAAAAAGCTAAAAGTTTATGTATAAAGCCTCAAGTTCCTGCGGATGTTTCCCAAGTTTATTTAACGAGATCAAGTTGTACTTCCTAAGTGAAGAACAGGAATGTCCTATCTCCCAAGTAGATAAAGAAGACAGTGAAAAGGACTTGAAGTACGTACTTGCTGATAGGGCTACAAAAACTGCAATATGGGTTATTCCTTCATATAAAGGAAACTAAAATCCTCACGACTTAACCAATAAGCAGCAGCATGGTCAACACAGAAGAGATTGACATTGTTAGTGATTTAATTTACTTGATCCAGAATCAATGCCCAGGGAAACAGCCGTCAGGAAATCAAGCAATGCATTGCATTGCAAACATTGGCTACAAATGACACCTCTTTAAACTCTCCAAGGAAAAAGGGGTTGCCTTGAGGACTAAGGTGCGTCTGACTCAAGCCATGGTATTTTCAACGGTGGCATATGCGTGCAGAAGCTGGATAGTGACTAAGGAAGACTGATGAAGAATTGGTGTATGTGAACCTGTGGATGAAGCCTCTGGTGAGTCCCGCCTGACCATAGACGAGGGCTGTGAATAGTCTTGCAAAGTGCATTGGAAAAGAAATCATTGCAGAAGCAGTAAGGTTAAAATTCAACACTATGATCATCTGATCTCCTTTTGACCCGTTTTAAATTTGTTCTAGGTTTTAACATCTTCTGCTTTCTTTCCCATTGAGGTTTTTCTCTGTTTCACTTTATTGTTAGTTTTTTTAGTGTTTGTCTGTATATGAAATCCAGGATAGACAAATCTATAGAGGCAGTAACTGGATTAATGATTCTTTGAGTGTATGGCA